AGAGAAAAAAAAAAGCTAAGATTATAAACATAAAAAATTAGGTGGAAGAGAAATTTTACCATTGGACTATATTTCCATAGAAAACTTGTAAAATGAGCATAAAAAAGACCATCGAGAACCTGTAAAAGAAAAAATATATAAATAAAATGATAGTGAAACGAGAAGGTAACAAATTTTCAACAACAAAAAAATATACGACTCACATAGAAAACCTGCAAAAGAAAAAGTTATAAATCTGCAAGCTTCCTCCTCATCTCCTGATAATAAAATCAGACCAGAAATATTAAAAAAAAAAATATATATGTAAACAAACCAGACAAATCAAGAGAGACAGAAAATTTGAAATTAGAGAGACAAAGAACATACTAGAAACGCAAAGAGACTAATCCAGAATTCACTAGCAAGATATAGAAGGGTATTGAGAGATTAGGTGACATTCAAATCAAACCTTTCAACCAGCTTTGATTCTCAAATACAGAACCTCCCTCTACATCTTATGGATCTGCGAAAATCTCTCAACTCTTTAATTGATATCGATTTTTTGATGATTTTGTAGAGAGTTTCATGAGGGTGTTTTAGAGAGTGCAGGAGGGTTTCAAGAAGGGAGAGATAAGGTTTTCAGAGACGGGGGAAAATCTGAAAATTTGTCGAGCGCGAATTCACTTAAGTAGCCTTTTTTTAGCGTGTTTTAAAAGACGACGCTTGTTAATGAGAGATAAGGTTTTCAAAGACAGGTGAAAATTTGAAAATTTTTTGAGCGCGAATTCACTTAAGCGGCCATTTTTTAGCGTGTTTTAAAAGACGACACTTTAAAAAAAAAAACCGTCATCTTTACATATAATAGACGACCCTTTTTTTAAAAAAAAACCGTCGTCTTTATATATAATAGACAACCCTTTTTAAAAAAAACTGTCATCTTTACTTCACAATAGACGACCATTTTTTACAAAAAAACGTCATCTTTACATATAATAGACGACCTTTTTTAAAAAAAAAAACCGTCATCTTTACTTCACAATAGACGACCCTTTTTACAAAAAAGCGTCATCTTTACATATAATAGACAACCCTTTTTACAAAAAACCGTCATCTTTACTTCATAATAGACGACCCTTTAAAAAAAAAAACCGTCATCTTTACATATAATAGACGACAGTTTTTTCAAAACAACCATGTCTTTACCAAAAAAAAAAAACTTGATTTTTAAAAGACGACGCTTGTCATATTTGCTGTCGTCATTTTTTGGTCAGATTTTAATTCTGATTAGAAAACCTTTTTAATAAGACGACGCTTTTTTATTTGTGTGCGTCGTTATAAAAAAAATATTCAATAGTACCTCCGGTTTTTAGTTGTTTAAGTCACTTATCCACGACAGTTTTTTTGTTACCGTCGTCTTTTTAAACACAACGACGGTTTTTTCTTCTACCTTCGTCTTTTTCTGGTCGTCTTTTTCACTTTTTGTAGTAGTGTAACTTGTCTCCAAAATGCATTTAATGAGTCTCAAGCTTATTACACTGAAACAAACACAAAACTTATTAAAAGCGCAAATTTAACTAAAAAATATAATCAAATCATAAGTTAGAAGGATACAAAATGATATGTAATTATGCACCGATCATTCCATTATCCTGAAGGGCTGGAAATAATTATGCTTGTGACATAGGGGAGGGGAATAGTATGTTCTATATAATTAATCAAGTAAAGTCCAATAATTTAAAAAAAAGTTTGAACAAGTAACGGCTTTGCTGCTGACAATGTTTGCCTCAGATACGCATCACCACAAAAAATAAAAGAAAAGAGATGTTTGTAAAGCAAGCATCAACAATTCTCTTGCAACTGACGAAATCAAGACAAATAATGCATCACAGTCAAATTTCTAATGCATATTCAACAGTCCTAACATATGACTATTTTTATCCTTCACTTCTCTCTACAAGTGAAGTAAATTTTACCTGTGTTAATTAACGTTAATATATTCGGAATAAGGTACTGCATACTTTGCGGAAGATTCCAAATGAAAAACCGCTTGCAATTACTAGCCTGCCGAGATGCCGCAGAGATGCTTCCACGTCATGAGCACGCCAACAATATTCTCACGTTCTTCGTACAAGGTCGTTGGATTGGCTATGAAAGTTACTCCGTTGATTTCACGTACCCAAGACCAAGGCTCTTGGTGAATTGCCTAAAGGAGAGTGTTTAGGGAGATATGAGGTTTCCTTCTCTATGTGGGTGTAAAGCTCACTACACACCAACGCAGAGAGTCTGCACTGATGCTTCTTTCTTTCTCTGCGATTCACTTGCACATACTCCATCTAGTTTATAGAAATATTTCAGCCCATCCCAAGACAGCATAAAACATTCACTAGTGCAAGGGATGGCATTGTGCTGTAAAGCAAAGAGTAATGACTTATGTAGTGGCATACTTTATATCTGATAACTTATTTTATTACAACCTGAATAGGAAGATCGAGTAGGTAGAGATTCGTAAGGACATCTCTTTTTTTGTGGTCGAAATTCGTAAGGACATCTCTAACAAGTCTTTCTCTTGCAGAAGCAAATCTTGCCTGTGTGGGATCGAATTCACCGATTGCGAAGACCACTCGGGCTTTCGTGTGACCTTGGCAATGCCCCATCCCTAGGCCACCGGCCTGACCGCATATGCACTCGGAAACGCCGTGGTCCTCGTCTGAGACTCTACCTGAAAAATCACTGACCTCGACGTCAACACGTTCCGCTTCTTCAAGATGAAGTCGAGATCGAAACCCTAACTTAAACCCCGTCAGTCACCTCGCACTATTGGAAGAAAACTCCTGAAACAACCGCCCGCAGCGAGTCGATCGCGACCTTGGCCCGATTTGGAACCACGAACCGAAGAAATTAGTGATTTTCGATCGGCGATTCGAAACAATTAATGATTCCCAACGTTTCTGTGACTGCGAATCGTAGATCATCATCGCTGGGCGAATCGAAGCAAATACTGGTTTCTTTCTCTCTTGGCGTCGGTGATGAGGTTGGAGAGACGACAATCTCTTCTACGAAAGAATGGCCATACACGACGATCTGGTTGGATCTGATCATCAGAAATTTTCTTGGGTTAGGGATTCAGAGAATGATGAGTTGCTTGAAATTAAGAAATAAATAAGAAATGTGACTGGGGTTGGGTTTGGCGCTTTATTTTGTTTTCCGTGGACAGAGAATTTGGACGCATTGATCTCTGCAAAACGCACGGTACGCTTGCGTTTAGGCTTTTTTGCACTTTTGTAGTTGATGGAGGAAATCGATGGTGGGCTTCAGGCTTGGCAGTTGGACCTCAGGGCCCATGAATGCGTTGTCGAGTTTTTATTAATTTATTGGAATTACGTGAAATACGAGGGATGTATGTGGAATTTAAATTTGTGAATAAAGGAAATTGATTTATTTCAATGTAAAAGGTTTTATTGATTATTAGCTGTCTGAAAGTGAAAGAAATCTAAAACGTGATATTGCAAAGTCATTTTCCTCCAAAACCAAAACAAACCTTGGAATTGGAATTGGAATTGGAAGGAAAGAGCTTGGCATTGATTTTGGGGTATACCCCCATACTTCAATTGTATACATCAAATCAAGTATCCAGCAGTCCATATACCAAAAGACCAATCATCATTTTGTCGGAAGTCTTCACACAATTATGTGTTTTGCTGAGTTAACGTCAATTTAAATTCATCCATCACTTGACAAAGACTTAGTTGTTGACCATTCACAACCCTAATGCTCATAAGCCTAGATAGAGAAAGAAAAAAACAAGTGTCTTTGTTTCTTGAAATATTAATTAAATTTCCTTGGTTTTTAATTTGTATTACACGAGAGAAATATATTATCTGTTTCTCTTAAAAACAAAAAAAACAAAAAAACAAAAAATAATTTTCAACGAAACATCTCAACACATCCAACTACCTCTATGTTTCAGCTGTAAACTACAATGAATATTTAGTACTTGCTATATTTACTGTATGCAGCAAAATGCTGCAGAAATATGGTCGCTTTAGTTAATCCATCTAAACAGAGAACAAAATTACCAGCCATGGCTTTTCATATGCCTCAAGATTTGTTGTCCAACTCACTAAATAAACCAATAACTATCGCAATCTGACCAAATACTTCAGAATATATACGACTGGAAAATTCACCATAACACCATCAGCTGAAAGACAGATTTGCATTGACAACCAAAGCCGCTTTTTCTCTATTATTAACTCAGAAATGAGTGAGTTTAACATGAAATACAACTGGGTATTATTCATACAAGTTTCAGGATGATACATTATGGAACAGTAATTACATTATGGAACAATAATTGTAACGATCTTCAGCAATCACATACCAGACATCGCATCTCTGACATGTCTTTGGTGGGTATGGGACAAGGTCTTTCTTCTCATCCTTCTTCTCATCCTTCTTCTCACTCTGTGGTGGACCTATACTCACAACGGAAGCAGATTTTCTGTATTTTCTTACCTTCTTGATAACCTTTACTGGATCGGCTTCCCCAGTTACTGTCACCGTATTTTTTGACGGGTCCAGGACAATGGAAGTTATCCCTTCTACTGTTGCTATTAACTTCATCACCTTCTTCCTGCACTTTGAACACAGAAGTTCCACTGACACTACCGTTTTCTGCAGCACAAGACAAAAGTAAAGGTCAGATTTTGTTCCGTACCTGTGCGCTCAGAAAAAATATAAATTCCATCTGAAGTATTGCAGTGTGTGTCAGTGAAAGACTCCAGAGAAAATGGTGCGTCAATAACTAATTACATAGCAGGAAAAATAAAACAGAGAGAGATGGAACCTTAGACATAATAAAGCAATAATGATAGAAAGCAAACTGGAACAAGCTAATAACAAAGAAAGAATGGATCCAAAGATGCTATATATAAAATGCTCTCTCTCTCTCTCTCTCTCTCTCTCTCTCTCTCTCTCTATTTAGTTTGATTATGTGTTCTGCACAGCACTTTCTTGGCAAAGAAGCTGGTTGAGTACAAAACGACAGTCAGTAGTTGGCTAGAAGTAAATACCAGTCGGAAGGGTTTTTAATTGGGTCACCTATGCCCTCCAATATGCAATAAATGCAGAATTTACCATCTGCGGGCACACACACATCCCATGCTAGGCTAAAACACACCTTTCTACATCCTCTTTATCTTGAAAGAAATGAAACCGTTTATAGCAAAGTTAAAATGATGCTGGCCTGCCTAATTCTGAATGTACTACAATTTTTTGGAAAAAGATAAAAAAAACAGAGAACAATCTAACAAGCTTGCCCATTCGCCTGTTTGTACACACAGGCGTGTCAGCTTATAGCAAATTTTACTACAAGTAAATATGCTGATTGACTGAATAAAACAAGGATTTTGAACAAACCAACAAATGAGGTTTTAGCTCAGGATGTCTCCAAGAAAATAATGAAGACCTGACATTACGCAATGTGTTGGGATGGCAATCACTTTATCAATTCAGCTCTAGTGGGGTCAGTTGAATGGGCAAACTTGACCCACTTCTGGAACGTATTAATTCCTTCTTCTCCGTACTTGAATCATCAACTTTAACAGGATTAGATCCACACACACAAACACAGAGAGAGAGAGAGAGAGAGAGAGAGAGAGAGAGAGAGAGAGACCTATACACAGCTCAGGAGCTCATCATTCAGCACATGATGTAGCCAACCCACGGCCTTTATATTCCACATATATGCTGATCAAAATACCAAAGCTGAACAAACCAGAGTTCACAGAGCCTTCCATATTAGTCTTACCACTGGCCTAGAAACATATTTTAGCATCAGGCTCATTGATTCTTCCAAATCATTTCTTTCGAATGTTCGTGGTTTGGCAATGTAGTTACAAAAAAGAACTCCAAATCACACTTTGTACATCAGACAGAAGTGGAAAATGTCATAAGTTACTGCTCAAAACAAAATGTGTTTGGTTCCATTGTTCAAAACTGTAAGAACCTTATGTTTACCTGACAATTTATTAAAGGATATCAAAATATAAATCTGCACCAACAATGGAAAACTTGAAAAATATGAACTATAAGGAAGCATAAAGCAAGCGCAAAATAATTTTGATGAGAAAACTGGAAATTTAGATTAATGCCTATGCAAGAAATCGCTTCTTCAAACTTAGATAATTCATTGATTCCCTAAAATACTGTTGCTAAAGCAGACGCATTTTCAATTAGAAAATACCAAGGATGTCCTGGTCTTTTTTTCTTCTTTTCTATAGTAGTACTAATACCACAATGTGAAATCCCAACTGTCTGAATTAATAGGCCATGTGGGCTTTGATGGAATCACACTGAAGTTAGTTGATACATCACTTTCCCTGCAGAGCCCAGAAATTATGTTTCATCAGTTTCTCCTCATTTCCAATTAAACTTCTCAAACTTATAAGGAGTTTTATCACACTCTCTACTTCCCTCGTTAGTCTTCATTAACTTTATTAACAACATGAAACACTGATTTACGTGCCTCTACAAAACTATGTAAGGACTAAAGCAGCATGCCGTGTTTATGCTAATACAATTAGAAAGTTGCAGTAAATATGCATAACTCAATCTAAATTGAATGCATTTGCTTCCTAATGAATGGGTAAATTCAAACAAAATTATGAGATGCCCACGAACATTTGCAGACTTACAGAATAAAAATTACCATAGCTTAATCCATTCTATAAAAGAAAATTTGCATGAACTGATGATGCATGCAGCGGCAGTCCAGGTATATTTCAAAACAGTTATTAAAAAAAAAAAAAAGAACAAAGAAAAGAATTTCATCATTCTTCAAAACAAACGAAGAACCAAACACCACATGCATACACTAAGATAAAGAAGAGAAGGGGAAGAGAGGGATTTATATTACTAACCTTACAAATCAAAAACTTCATAGAAACAAAGGAAACAAAGAAATAATGGCTAAAAGCCAAGAAGTATACAAACAAATACAGCTATTAACAACAATAATTTACAGAAAATACTATATATCAACCCACTTGCACTTACTCATAATTTGAAGTAAAGTATCCTCCATGGCACTGTAACAAATCTCAATTTGCAGTTTTAAGAGCCATTGTGCTTGTATTTTTCTTTTGTCTTTCCTCAGTTTCCACCATTCGATTGTAGTAGGTTACTATTTTTTTGTCCAACTCATAATATTCTTCCATTTTCTTCAATTGTTTCAAATCCAGGTCAATGAAATTCACCTAGGAAAATGCAACTCAAATAAGATATTAATGTCCTAAGGAAGGATTTCCCCCACAGGGAATTTCACCTAGGAAAATGCAACTCAAATAAGATATATTCGTGCTCCAGCTGTTAAGAAATGGTATTAGATTACGAGAAGAAAATCTGTAAAGAATGACAATATAAAAACTTAAGGGACTTGAGCATCCAAATGCTGTGATTGAAAGATGCTATGATATCAGTCAGAATGAAATGATAAGGAGATCTGTACCTTGTAATCAAAAAATTGGTTGCTTGATTCTAGATACAAATTATTATATGGAGATCCTGTATTCCCATCTTTCTTTGGTCTAAAACTAATCATCAAACTGCAGTCCTTCGCAGTAGCAGCTATCAAAAAGTCCTTCACAATCTTCAAGCTTTCATCCAAAGAGATGGAATGCAATGAAAGATATCTCTGTGACATTTTTTCTTTACTGAATGCTCTGCATACCATGCAAGGCTCCGAAACAATGTCATAATATGCATGGATAGCCCCATCAATGTCAAGGTTATCAAGTTTCTGGACCTCAAGGAGCCGATCCAACACTCCAGAATTATGAACTGTTTCAGCAACAAGCTGTAGAAAACTCATTGTGCGCAAGCCATCACCTCCCTGAATGACACACTTGAGTGCATCTTCAAATTTTCCTCGAGTCACAAAATTGGTACTGTCTGCACCACCACCTAAGCCCCCAAATATTTGAGAACCATTCAAGAACACACGGAAGTTATTCTGCGGGGTTGAGAAGAGATCCCTGATAGCTTTATGTATTCTGTCCTTGGATCCAGAGAACATATCAAGTGGATTATATTCACTATATTCTGATACCTGTAACACAGGTTTAGACAAATCCAAGTCAGATTAACATTGACATTTAGTATTACTACAAAATAGGACTCTCTTTGCTGAAATTTGTGCGCAGAAGTTCTAAGAAGAATTAGATGAGATGGAATTCCCATTGAACATATGGAACTCATTTGCCTGATTTCTGGGTAGTAAATAATTTGACCAAGAGAATAAAATAGTAAAAGCACACCTCTTCTTGATGCAACTTCAGAGCTTGATGCATCTGAAAACGAGTAATGCTCCGTTTAATGGCATTTCCTTCATCAATGAACTTTGAAGATGGCAGAAATCCACATTTTGGCTATTTTTGGAAACAATTGAAAAGAAAAAAGGAATAACTAAATATATTTCAAGGGTATTACTCATGTGAAGACAACAAGAAAAAAGTTTACATGACAAGCATAAAATAGAAACGAAGAACACAAACATGGAAAAGCACCTTTATCTCCACAGATATACAGGGTTCAACTTCATGAGTACCTGAAATGAATAAAGAAGAATAAACTATCACCCTTTGAAATTTATCAGAGCTTTTTCCTAAGGTCTCAAAAACAAAACAGAACTAAACAAAAAATAATACTTCGATCATATCTATCACAAGACAATATTTAGATAAATAGGTGCACCTACATTTAATAAGATACAAAGTTCATATGATTCTATGCAGAATGCTGCTAATTCCAGGTTTCTCTCCCTGCTTCTCTGAGTTTTTATGTAGGTGTGTGGATATTACCTGATATCTTTTACTAGAAAAGTAAAAGGCAAAGGGAGACCTTTTAAGTGTTAGCAACCAGAACAGGCATGCAAAAAAGAAACAAGGATCATAGGCTAGATTAAATAAGCCATCTGACTTTCGAACTATAAGTGCAGAAAAGACAGTTCTACATCTTTAAGTGCAGCACTAATTAAAATTGTAACTAACAGAGAGACACTAATTACCACGAGGAAAAAGAGAATGATCAGACATGAGAAGCACAGAATCACATTGTGTGTCAACTTTAGCAGCGTCAACTCGAGAAGCAGGACGCTGAGAAATTATGTTCTTCTCAACCGACTCCAAGAATTCCTTGGAAGCAGGGACACGCATCTGCCAAAATTCAAACTGAAGGTTAACGAACTAAACCATTTTGTACATCTTACCACATGCATGCATGACTTCACGGGAAAACCAAATGCATACACTATATTGCTGAGTATGAGGATATTTCAATCAACACTGTTGTAGCTTTCCCTAATAAGAGAAAGCTTACCGTGTGACTCGGCATATTTAATCCATAATCACTGTCTTGGTTCCGGACATAGATACATACCCCATGTACAAATAAAACTCAACTAAAAAAATGCCTTAAAGCCCACCATAACTATTTTGAAATGATACATACAACGTGGACATGTTTTCCATTCAGCAAGCATCATGCATTAGTACAAGTGTGGATAGCTACATACTCCGGAATCAACATATGTGGAACCCAATAGAGGGCTCATGATGTGCTTCACAAACAGTTGACAAGCAAGTTCTTTGTTAGAGGTAGCTACAATGTCCTCCGCGTTCTTCCACAGAAGACGTTCATGCACGGTTAATGCAGTGGGACTGTTCATGGACTTTGACCCATTAACCGGAGCTTTCTGTAGACGCATTACTTTCCCAATCTACATAGAGCAAGGTACAATCATTATAAGCTTCAAACATGATCGATCATAATAAGGACCACACCTACTCCCGTCATGAACTACTAAGAAATTCTTCTCTCTAAACACATTCTTTTAGGTAAGTGCATAATTGAAGCTCAGGTGGTGTGTGTGTTTTGGAAACAATCAAAGAAAGTATGAAACATACAAAAGCGGGGATGGATCCGCTGTAACCGAGAACAAGATTGGCGGCGCCTTCGCCTCTGTAAATCCAATCACCAGCATATTTTTTATCTAAAATGACCTCCATGTCTTGGTGTTGATTGAGATTCAGCTGCTCACAGTTACTGCACAAATGAAGATTTTCAGTTTTTTTTTTTTCTTCTATCCAAAAACAAAAATTCTCAATGCAAGATCGAAATTTGCAAGTACCCAATTGAGGATATAAGATTTGCAAGAATCAGCTTGATCAAACAAACACATTGCAAGAATCAGCTGACACACCAAACACCGAAGTCGCCGAAAGATGATGATTTTATAGGTAAGGCCTGAGGCTGAGAACGCAGACCAAACAAACAAAGTTGTTCCTAGTGGGGATCTTTGTTTGGGCTCGAACAATTTTTAATGGCTTATCACTCTGTCAGTGGCTTCACCTTTACCCTTTACCTTTGCAGCTTCACTTTCTGGATGCTAATTCCTTTCCGCGTAATCTTATTAATTATACCACAAGTATGAGACAAGCAACAAAAACTAGGGGTGGGCATCAATCCGGCCGATCCGGTTACACCGGCCGAACCGATTATATTGGTTTGG